ATGATTTGAAAAAAACTATCAAAGTTGAACAAAAAATGATAACTTGAAATGGTTCACCCAGTAAACCATAAAATAACTCACCATTTACAGGATTCATCGTAAAGCTAATTTAATTCAAAATAATGATTTTTATCCTTTTCTTTAGACAAGAAAAAAAGAGTTAAATTTGTATTCCTATTTGTCTATAGCATGATGATGATGAGCAAATCAATTGAAAACCAACATTATTCTGAAACAAAATAGCAACAATATATTTGACAATTTATTTGATGAAAAAGCAGGAAAATAAAGTGAAAAAGGTTTCATTTTTATTCAGAGTAAATGAAGAGAGAAGAGAAGAGAAAAGAAGAAAATAAAAGAATAAAGAATGAAGAGAAAAAGGTTGAGTTGATATACCTTAATAAGAACATTTCACAGCCTCAGGTAATAAAAGGAAAGATTCAAGATTTACCTTTGTCTATTTCTTCTTCTCATCACTTATTCATCATCATCATCTATCTTCATCTTTTACTTTCTTAATTTGCTTCTTCATCTTCTCAAATTGATTGGTTGAAATGTTTAAAATGCTGATTGAAACAGGTCTTGTTAACCATCAAATGATCGATATAATAATAATGGCTATCATTCAGCTACCTTTCCTGTTTTCATCATCTTCTTCATCTTCCTCTCTTCTCTCACTTTCACTTCTCAAGCCTTATTAAGATCATCTCCAACTGTCCTTATCAGCATGATATTCAATTATTGTGTTACTCTAATCATCTCAAGCAACCTTTTTCACTATCATTTGTTTGCTTCTATTTTCAGTGAAACTTCAATGAAACATCAATCTAACAAACTGGAAAATTTCATTTCACTTTTTCAACCGAATTTCAAGGTTTCTTCTTTTTCCATTTCGATAAACAATTCGATCAACATTTTAATCGTTTACGTCTTAACCAGATTAACTTAATTTAATTGTCTTACAACCTCATAACCATTGTAATGCAATTGTTGGTTTTACCAATTTATTGACCATTTCAATAAAAAAAGCAAAATGTTTACTTTTGTCATTAATTTTCACATCAAGTTAACCCTGAATGTTGATCATAATTCATGGATTGAATGAGGAGACAACTTTTTCCAATGAAATTTCCTATTCTGATTAAACAAAAGATTAAAATTCATCGATTCATGTTGACATTAATTGATGATAATTACGTTAATCTTTTGTTTTCCGGGCTCAACAATAGTCTAATACAATTTGAAAATTTGTGAAAAGTGTTCAACTTTGAAAGTTGAAAAGAGATTCTAATTAATTGTTAATGATCTCATGTTAATGACACTATTAATTGTCTAACATTTAATTTATTCACAATTTAGGTTGAAAACAAAGTTTGACCACAAAAATTTATTACAATTTTGTTTTGAAATTTTTAATCAAAAAGGTTTAATTGAAACAAAAGAGTAACTTTCAATTCATTACAGATTTTATCATTGAAACAATTAATCATGATGATTGTTATTCAATTTACACATTCGTGCTTCTAATTATCATTGAACCATAATTATCATGATAAAAAATGATGAATTGTTTACACCAATAACTACAATTAATTGAACAAATTAAATCTCTTTTTATTCCATTTTTTATCATTGAGCTTGTTCTTTTAAATCAGCGTTGAAACAGAGACATCTTTGGATGCAATTAGTTGAACGATCAAATTGACTCATTTACTGATCATTATTTTGATCAGCAACAATCAACTGTTCAATTGATTCAACCATTAATTGCATCCAATAAAATGTAGAGTTTAAACGAAAGCTCCAATTGCCGCAGGAAATTCAAATGAAACCGGTTTCAGTGAATTTACTTGTGCTTTAATTGTCGACTATTAAAATTGTAGTTTTAATCAACTTTTCATCAAATCTTTTTTTGTTAACAATGGATACTTCGAGTTAATTAACGTTGATTTCATTGGATTTTAGGTTTGATGAAATTAAGTTTATTCAAGTTGCCCAAAGTGAATTTTATTAACCTTTTTTGTCCTTTTTTCACTTTTTTCATCTTCTTTTGCTATTCACAATTGAATTAAGGTGAACATTGGAAGAGATGGAAAGTTTGTTTATGGCTGATCAACTTCAATTACAATCAAATTGAGTCGTTAAATCATCTTACCTGTTCAATGTTAACCATTAACTGAATCAAAACTAAAATTTAATATAAGCTTCAATGTGACCCTTGGAAATGGATGAACATGCATCTTACAGGATCAACATTAATTATTTTTATTAACCTTTTCAGGATTCAACTTTCAAATTCAATTTGAATCCACTTTTTTGCTGATTAACTTTTTGATAAAAAAAAGAAAAAGAAGTTAATCAGATAATTGGAAGGGAACAAATTATAATTAAACAAGTGAGACAACAATTTTCAATTTCATCTCTTTGATTTAATGATTAGTGATTAAGGATTCTCTGGGTAATAAAAGTTTCAAGTTAAACAAAAGAGTTGAGCTTTGAAAGATAATTGGTTCGCTTTTTCAGGTCTAAATTGAATCCAAAGGATTTCAGGTTGAAATTACCATCATTTTCATGTTGAGCACCCAGTAATGCGTTAAGTGATTCAAGAGGGTGTAGGATGAGCAACAAGAAGAGAAGAAGATTGAGGAGAAAAGATAATAAAAAGAAGATGGAAAAGATAAAAGATGGTCAAAGGGAAGAAGAAAAGGAAGAGAAGAAGATGAGTCAAATGAGGTTTGGGTAAGCAGAAGGGATGAAATGCTTCAAGGTTTATTTTGACGTACAGATTGAGAGATGAAGTGGATAATTGGTCTCTCTATCTGAATCATGAATTGATGTTCTTGTGAAGTTTCCAGGTGAAAATAGTGCAGGTTTAAGGAGGACAAAATGGCCAATTCATTTGGTTGAGTAAGGCACAATTGGTCAATTTATTTCAACCTTTTCTGTCTTTTGCCATCGCCAAGGATATTTCACTCCTCTTCATTATATTGCATCAAAAACTATCCTCATTCTGTTCGAACTGAAAGATGACTAAAAAAGCGAGATAATCTCTTCTTCTTTTCTCTTCTCTCACAGAATTTACTTTAGATATTTTTTATCATGAAAAGTGAAAAGTTGAAGGAAAGTGAAAGATAAAGTGAAAAAGGTTTGGTTCTTGAAAAGTCAAATGTAAAGTAAATAGAAGGACAAATTTTGTTCCGAAACTTGTCAACTAATCATGATTAACTTGTTATTTTTGGCTTTTATTTTTTCTCCTTTTCCTTTCTATTCTCTATTTTTGAACATGAAATCAGATTATTCTGATTATTCTTTAGTATTATGGTCAGCATGTTTGGTTTTTGCGTTCAACTAAAACTGCAAAATGTTTTTCTAAGGCAATTTGTATGCTTATCCAATAAAATGAATATTTGAGCAAGAAAAATGTTCAATGTTTTGAAAGGAAGGGAAAAAAACTATTCCTTTATTAGTTGATTTCATTTGATCAACAGCTTTTTTCCCATGAAAATCTCATTGACTAATGGATAATCAAGATCATTTACGCAGTTAACCATTTGGAATGAAATTAAGTTAAAATGATAATATTCATTTACTATTGTTTGATATTGATTTTATCCTGGGTTTGTTCACTTTTACTCAGCTATTCTAGATATTTCAGTGCAATAATAATATTTGGAATTAAAGCGAATCAAGAATTTGTTTCTCTCAAACAGAAGAAAAAAATTGGATTATTGTGAGTCTGTTTGAACTGAATTGGCATTCAGAAGATTGGAAACAATCATTCATCAACTAAATTGGTTTGTCCCTCGAGAAGATGAGGTTAAGTGCGTTAAGAAGACGTCAAAGTATCGTGAATATGGCCATGATTTGAAAGAAGAAAACAATTTTGTTGAAAATTTTAAAATAAGCGAAGAGAAAAAGAAATTATTATTAAATAAAAATGTGGTTTCAGTCGACAATGATAAGGAAGGGAAAGAAGTGAGGATTTGCAGGGAAAAAATGAAAAAATGAGGAAAACCATTGGGATGATTAGTCTTGTCACTGTGGCTTGAATCACCATCCAAGCTTGGATTATGTTTAGATGATTTCCTCTATTGGGAGCAAGATAAAAGATGAGGATGAAAGTGGAGGAAGAAAAGTGAAGGCACAAAAAACAGCAACTAAATACAATATGAAATGGTTGACGGAGTTTACGGCTAAATTGTGTATTGCTCGCAGTTGATCAACTTGATTGCTTATCCAACATATCATTGGCTCATCAAACTACCATAAAAGTATCATGATAATAACAATAATGATGATGTGAGTGTGATGAAGATGAGGAAGAGAGACAAAAGTATCTGATGGACAGCTATTTATAAAGGTTGTTCCCTTAAGCGAAGATCAGTTATCAGTGAAAACCTTTCAACGTTCAGACAAACATTCCTTTACAACACATGGAATCATGTTGATCATGGTGACAATGGAAGATGAATTTCAGGTTATAATCATGATGACACCTTCTGTATATTGAACATTCAGCGATATTTTTACCATCAAAAAGTGTCTTGCAACTTTTCTCATGGATTTAGCTGTTGAAGTGATGAAAAGCTCATGAGACCTGTCAAGTGATGATCAACTTGTTTACCAGATCAGTAAGGGTCTAAAGATGATATTTTCAAGAGAAGCAAAAAAACACCATAAAGTTCAATACCTTTTATCAACTGAATCCAAGTAAACCAAATTTTTGACATCACTTTTTGTTATCAACAATTTGATCATCTTCAACATGAGTCAATGGTGTTGATACACATTTACCTTTCTTTTCATGGAAATAATCATAACAAGATAACTTCCTATTGTCATCATGATAATAATAGATATCAGAACGCCCTTTATCACTTGTCATCACAAGGTGATGCCAACAAAAAACACACAAAGTAAGGTATTTGATGAGAAAGATTAAGGAAGAAGAAAAAGAAGAGGAAAAATGAAAGAAACTATTAATAGGTGAACATGAAAAAAGGTTCATTTTTTTTATTCTTCATTTGAATGGACATTCTCCTGTAATCTCTTTTATGCTCTTACACTTTCCTTCATCATCTCATCATCTTCCTCTCTTGTAATGGCGATAGTTTATATGAAATGTATAATTGTAAAGAAATGTTTCAAAATGTAATAACATGGAATGAAATGGTGAATTACTGAAGTAGAGTGAAAAAATGTTGCTCTGAAAAGGAATGAAAAGGAAGGAGAAAATGATAGTAATGATGAAAAGGAGGTTCGAAGGGTTTTCATAACAAAAAGTAATACAATTTGTTAAATAATAACGGTAATCGATAAAATGGTGAGTCCAGAAAAGATGATTTTGTGAAAATTGGAAATAAGAATTGGTTGTTGACAAGTTGATCAGAATAACAAGAATCATCTGTTAACATTGTTCACATTTCTTGTTATTATTATCATCGCAAGAATCAGGTTATTGAAGGTTACTTGTGTGGTCAACAAATTATACTCATCATCGTCACACAACACTGAGAATCAAGCTTTTGACCGTCAACAAATTATACCTTTTAATGTCCTTTAATCATCAAGTCTATCACTTAACTTGCAATTAAAGTGATTCACATTTTTAAATCAAACCGTTTATCAGCTATAAATGCCGTCAAACTTTGTCCCAATATTTTCAGTTGTTGCACAGTTTAATTCATTCGAAGTCATTTCATGGTAAGCCTTAAATTTGAAAATGATTCAATGTAAGGTCAGATTTTATTTACTTTTCCTATTATCGAATCTCGCGCTTTTATCAATTCGGCTTACGCAGCTAAGCTGTTTAGCTTAATTCCTTGGCTGATCCGCAATTTCCCTCTAATAGTCAAACATGTGTTTTCCTCTAAATATGTATTTGTAACAAAATTTTTGTCAATAATTTTTGTTTCTTTTGTAAATTGTATTTTCAACATTGCATTGAGCTTAGTGATTAAATTTTCTATGACTTATGTGCTGTCAAATTTAATTTAATAATGTTAACAGAGTTTAATGTTTGCCTTCAATTAACCTACACTTGGTTATGACTCGTTTCCCTGTCGTTGGCCTTTGATTGGCCTCATCAAAATGTTCCCAACTGCAAGATGTTATTGATTTTATTGAAGAACTGTCAGATAATTATATTTCCAGAAGCTGCTGCAAAATGGTAGTTACCTTGAAAAGGTATTTTCTAATTATACCTGGCCATTTTATGAATCAACCAAAGTGTAATCTCATTGAATGTACAATATTGATCTAAAGATTTTCAAGTTCATCCATCTTAATTCAATCAATACATAAATCGTTTAAACAAGCGATACAAGAGTTTGTATAGTCAACATAGTGATCATCATATTCCGGAACTAACCAATCAAGTTATGAAGCTTCAAAGAGATACCTTGATGATGGGAAAGACGAGACAAGAGAAGGATGAAAATGAATGAACCACACAAACCGGAAACAATACAAAATGAGAAGAAAAGAATCGATAAAATAGATTGTAATCTTTGCTCAGACCTTTTGACAAAATATATGGTTAGAGTAAAGGTTACATGATAATAATAAATTCAGCTGAAGTTTCAATTTTTATTGTCATACTTAAACAACTTTTTTGTTTTTCTTCTGTTCCATGAGTTTCTCTTGTTACGTTTTATCCATAAAAAGTTATATCAATTTTATGGCTTGATTATATCATCCCACCTTTATCATTTTATTTATATTATTTTGTAAATATTATCTAATATTTTCTACTTTTTCCCATCAGAATGGTAATAATTTTTCATCTTCTTACCTTGGCTAATTGTTATTTATCCAGCTTTTATGACTGCTTGTATTATCTTGGTTTGGAAATGAGATTATTAATAATTTCTGTGCAGATCACCGAATCAAATCGAGAAAGAGGGTCAACATGATATATTCAATACCACCATAATCACTGCTATCTAACATTAAACCTTGATTGTTCTCGTCGCAATTTTATCTATCAATCCTGGTGACATAACATCATCAAATCATTCATCATCGAGACCAGTTTATATGATTTACCTTAATAGTGAGAAATGGTCCATCACTGCATTGGAAATGCGTAAAATTAAATTTATTACATTTTTTACAAAATTAATTTCTCTAAAATGAATCATCTTGTGTGGATCAACTTTACTCTGCCAATACAATCAGCTATAAAAATATAATTCAGTTGGTTGAACAACAAGAAATTACATTTCATTGATTTATGAAGTGAAACAAGAGATGATTCAGGTTTCTTGCAACGATTTTCAAATGGCAATAATTGAATGATATCTGACCAGATTAACAGTGAAAAGTGTCACTGTTTTCAACGAAACACAAAAGGTTCAATTAAACATTAAATAAGCCATTTCAACCCTCCACAATCTCAACTCACCTTATCATCACCATGATCACCCTCCTGTTCAATCTCGTTTGGTTTCCTCGAAATAAATGGCAAAAGTTAACTTTATTGATTAACATTTAACCATTTTCAGTTGAATTTGAGTGAACCCTTCAAACCATTTTACTGATGTCTTTTTTCATGCTAATCACCAATCATTATGGTTGAATCTATTCTCAAAAAAGATTGAGATCTTAGCTAATAAAGATAAAGAAGAAAGATTTTTGCAGAAGAAAAGATTCGATCGGTCATTTTACAATTGTTTCACAAACACCTTAACACAATGTTTTGTTTCGAGCAAGTTGCTCAATTAGCGAGATAACTTTATCTCTCGAATCAGATTTTTTCAGCTCTTCACTTACTCGAGCAACATTTGAATGAATCTCTTTATTATTGAGCACATCTTCAATGGCTTTTAGTAATTTCTCACCACTGAATTCATGCAAGTTTATCCTGACACCTAAGCCAAGATCAACTATTCGTTGAGCATTATCAAGTTGATCACCAAATTGAGGAATGACTATCAATGGTTTACCAACAGTTAAGCCTTCAATTAACGAATTGCTTCCTCCATGAGTTATGAATAAATCAATTTTGGGTAAAAGAGCAATCTGATTGATAAATTTGTCTCCCCACATGTTATCATGTAGCTTGATTGAGTCACCATTAACACCAGTTGAAACGATGAAACGATGAGGTGAGTTGACCAATGGATTTAAAATCATGGTTAGTAATTGAGTTACAGCTGAAGCCAATGTTCCCATTGAGATATAGATAAGCTTTCCTGGTTTATCTTTAAGTTTATCTGGTAATTCAAAGTTCATTGTTTCTGGTGAGCGAATAGATGAATCAAGACGAACCCAGTTTTCTTTTGGTGGACTCAATTCATGGTAATCTAATGGACCAGGATAAATGTAGATTCCCAATTGTTGTGCACAGTTGTACGATTCAAATTCAACGTTAAAATCAGCAAACAGCTTTTGAAGTTCACTTTCTATTTCTAAGTCAGCTTTTCGGGTCACTTGCCTAAACTCTTCCCAAACCGTCGGTGAATCGTGAACTGAACATCCTGTGAGAGGAGGAGGACCATTATACAGTTCAAGTGGATTGACAGACTTGACAGGGATAACTGGACAATCGACAAGAAACATCCAAGGCATATTGAAGAGGTAATCAGCCAAACAGATATCGGGATTAATCTCTTTAACAATCTTCATCATAACATAATTTTCACCTCTTGAGGCTCGAATAAAATTAACTAAATCATTTTCCTTAGCTTTCTCTCTTATTTGCTCTAATACTGTTAATTTTCGCGCATTTTCAAATGCCAATGTCGCTTGAGCTTCAAAGCCGTCTAACATATCCATGATTGGAAATTCGGGTTCAGCATAGTCCAACAGGGAAAAAAACTTGAATCCATGTTTTTCGACAGTTGGACGATGTCTAGGAAAATGAGCAACATAAACTTGATGACCTCGTTTCTGAAGCAACAAACCGATGCCAAGACATGCATTCAAATGACCAGGACTGCATGAAAAAGATTTAAATTAAAAATTCAAGTCAATTCAAATTAAAGTGAAACTTACCCAAACAAAGCAGTGAACAATATTTTGAGGCGTTTATCATTTTCAGTCACCATTTTTAAATTGGTTGTAATTCAGTTCTATTAGAACTCTAAAGTTAATTGTTACTAGCGAGCTGAACGATTCCAACTGTCAATGAATAAAACTTGTTTCGTTTGTGCATTTTATACGTTCTTACAGAAACTCAATTGTATTTCTGGGAAATAAGATTAACTAATTAACATTGATTGAGTGCACTGAAATCGTGTTATCAAAATGTTCATCATTCATTGAAAGAAGCTGTGTTACAATAAGAGAGTTTATTATAAAATTTTCAGGTTTATTCATGCGATGGTTAATCAAATCGCTTTGATTCGAAGGCGAATCTTAAAATCATTGTTCAATCATCATGTTTAGACTTGATAATTGTAACATGTTGCTTTGATGCAAAGTAATTATGGAATAATCAAAGGAATGTTAATTCCGGCCGGACAGGATCAGGAAAAATATTCATATCCCATGTACATCAGGAAAACATGTGATTGAAATAAAGGTTAATCTTGAAGCTTGCATTAAAGTTATCTTTTGCGACGGAAATTATTAATTGCATTATTGCTGCAATTAATAACACCTTTCTCATTGTTAGAGTCTGAGTATTATCTGAACTGATCAAATAAACTTGGTTTTTCATCATATCGTAACTCAATCATAAACAAGTAAGGCCAGAACAGATTTAAAAGAAATTTGGAGTGAAGCTGATTAAATGAAAATAAATGAAAAACCTTTCATTTTCTCGCATTTTTGCTATTTTTAATCTATCCGATTATTCATAAATGAAAATTTAAAATTAATGGTTGAATTATTGATTAAATTGGTTCATTTTTGAAATAAAATAAATTTTCATTGATGGAAATACAATATAATGAGTGCTTTGTGCCAATTCCTAAACAATACAAGTACCCTGGTACTCACAAAGTTAGTGCACTGAACACATTTTATCATTTTGAGTACAATGTTTAAGCAGAAAATGTTTTAGTGATGGGGGGAACAATGATATCGAGTAAGGGGCAAAACCTTGGTTATTCAGGTTGATGGTTGATGCACCAGGATAGCATAAAAAACTTTTCTTCGGGTAAGAGTTTGGTGAAGAAATTTGGTAAACTGTACAAAAGGAGATCTATCAGGTAAACCAAAGAACCAATGAGATCCAAAAGTTGGAGCCTTTAGATTTTTCCTTATAATAATATTCATTTTGGAATGGGAATGGGAATGATTTTGGAGAGTTATAAAAGGCATAAAATTGATTCCATTTGTTTGATTAATTTCGCTGATGAACAATCATTGACAAAATGGGGCTCGAGGTTGTATTTTTTTCACTTTTTGTACAGTTGAGGCACCGTTTTCACTTGACTCTTTACTTGACAGACAGTTTTACAAATGCTCCTAATCCAACAAGAAACCATCAACCTGAATATAAAGTTCAAAGTCAGAGATTCGGACTCTCCATTGTTTTCCCGACCCACTTTACACGTAAATTTCTCAGTAACCTGAATTTTGAGAATGGTCGGACTATTTTCGTGGATGTTGTTTAACCTTGGCTTTCAGGCTGTGTAAAATTTTCCCTTAGAATCCTTTTAGTTTGGCCACAATTTTTACACAAGTTCATGTTTTGTTATGTTCATGTTTATATTGTGTGTATACATAGGTGGGTATATCAATAATCAGCCACAGCCAATTTACTTTTACCTATTCAATATAATCTTGATTACCTAAACTTTTGGATACAGAAAATAATTTCTCAATTGTAGGTTCAATTAGACTGCAGTGGAAGCCATATTAAACGATTATGCTTGTCTGGTCTCATTGATGGTGAATTATTATTTAATCATCGTTCAATCAACTAATTAACATAGATTGTCATTAAAAGTTGATCAAATAAAAAGAAAGACAAATGTTTCAGTTTCTTGCTTGTCATCATTTTCATCATTTCCATCGTTTCCATTATCATGTATGGTTACAGTGATGACTCTGATGAAGCCTAAATGACGGTCAAAATGATGAAACATCAGCATGATGAACAAAAATCATCAGGGAAGAAACTTTTTTATGTAATATTTAGCTACTTCAATTTGATTGATTGCCTTGTCATAGGAGAAGAAGCAAATGAAGATAAAGAAGAAGATGATCCTGATGAGGATGAAGATGAAGTAAAGAAGCCAAAAGATGTCAAAGTTAAGTTTTATTAGGCAAAAAGCACAAACTGTTGGCTTGAAAGGTAAATTGTTTGTTTAATCAACAAGACCTTTGCATGTTCATGTTAACCAAGTAGTGATAAACAAAGTGAAATAAACAAATAATGGACAAAAGTGAGTAAATTATTTAAACCTGTCTTGACCACTTTAGCCAACAGCAAAGGTAAACAATTGATTGGTTGAAGGAAAACGTTGTTTTAAAAACAAAAACAGAAAAGAAAAGAAGAAAAAAATGAAAAGAAAAATTTGATTCCATTGAATTACATTGGAAAGTTTACCATGATTTATCAAGTTTACCTGCTTAAACTACACCTTTACTCGGACCACCTAGAGATTTACTTGTCCTTACCAAGATTAACACACAACCACACAAAAAATGAGCCTTCATCATCTTCATCTTAATCATCATTTTTCTTCCTCTTTTTCTGTCAACTGCAAGGATCAATGATGAAGCATTTTTCATGGGCTTGTGAAACTTTATCAATGTTACAATTTACAGAATTATCGGCATTTTCAACTTTTAAGTGAAACATTTGATCAACTTGCAATCGTATTCAGTTTGGATTAACTTCTCACTTTTATTCAGCTTTCATTTTCATGATAAACAATCAATAGCAAAGTGAATTAATGATTACAAATGAAACAAAATAATGATATTTATATGCTTTACTAAGTTAATAATATTTTGTCTATTATTACCTTAACTAGCAATTTACTGAAGCGTATTAATTCAATTGGAATTATTTTGATAACAATTTTTACCTTTTTTATTCACCAACAACAAACAATCTTATTAACAATTTACTCTGTTTATTCAAATGAAAATAATCCTTTTCTTGATCATATTCATAACTATCATGAGATGATTTTCAGTTTCAATTTAAGCAAGTTAATTAAGTATATTTTACTGGATTCAACGTGAAATCAGCTTAATGAATGTTAAATTATCATTTGACAAAACTTGAGTTTGTTAGCAAATTGAGCCATTCTGGTTGCTCATGGAGATACTCAATTCACTGAACTCAGGATCGATGAGCTTTCAAATGATCATTAGTTTTGCTGATAATAATTATTAATAAATGAATCAAGAATCAAGTGAAAACTTCTCAACGCAATTACGATTAAATTTTCAAATTGAATGATTCAAGGAACGTTGAATGAATCAATCAACAACTAGACAAACTAAATTACTATTTTAACCAAGTAAGTTATTAAATGAAATTAAAACATCAATCATAATTAGAATGCAAGAAATTGATACAATTTTGGTGTCTCATTGAAGTTATTCACAGTCAAAGAAGAAAGTTATTAAAAGATAGTTTATGCGCTGGTGAACAATAAAATGAACAAAATTCATTTCGAAAACTGATTTTCTAAAAATAACGAAAAATATTAATTTTTTCATAAGTTTGCCAATTTAATGAATCTTTTGGTTGGAGTTGTTGATTTATTGTTCTTGAACATCTAATCGATATTCATTTGAACTATCGATAAACGATGTTTCGTCCATTTAGCATTGTATCATTTTTTCAAGTAAATTTGTGTTTCAACTGATGTTCAATGAAAATTGAACTTTTACTGTTTCTAATAGCTTCTCAATGTGACCGTAATTCAATATAAATAGCAACTTTTTTCATGAAACTTGTTCAAGAGAAAGTGCATTTCAATCTGTTCCAAAGTCATTTGCATGAAAATTGTGAGTCAACTTAATTTCCGGAAGATTTCACTTCAATCACGATTAGTGTTTCAAGATTCTTAACTTACGAGTCTCAATTTATACGGTAAATTAGGCCTGACAAAAGTTGATTTTAAAATTTTTAGACATTTCCTTGAAAAAGAATTAATTAGATTGATTTAACCATCTTTAATCAGCTAATTGCCAACAAATTATAAGAACTTTTCTTTCATCATTTGACTACAATAATCTGATTAGGAACCATTGATTGTTACCTCAGAATGTATTGAATAGAAGAAAAAAGTTGATCCAAAGAAAAGGTGATCAAGAATTGCAATTGGAAAACAGTGTTCTTTGGAATATCTGATTACAATAATAAAATCAATTATCAAGGTAAGATAATAAATTACGATAATCTGAGAAACTCTCATTTCGCTTCTTCTCTGGTTTGTCATCTTAAAGAGGATAAAGAAGAGCAACTTTTGTTGTTTTTTCAGCTCATCTTTTCTCATGTAAGCTTAAGGTAAGGAGATAAGCTTAAGGATGCCCTGGGTGGTTCATAATGGTCTTCAAAGTGAGGTAACATAAATAAAAGGTAATATCATGATGACCGCAAAGATGAAGAAAACATTCACACTGAGCAAGTAAACCTCATCTTCAGCTTTTCTGTTTATTATACTTTTCTCAGTGAATAGAGATGTTCACTACAGAATCTTGATTCTTAATTCTGTTTGTTTTGAACAAGCTTAAAGAATGAAAAATGAACTTTCAACTGTTGTTAACTAAATTCATGATTAAACACATTAAATTCAGGGCGGTTTCAATGGTTCAGTTTCACTGTTTACTTGGACTGACTTTCAAATTTACTTCACTAATGCTAATAAATGTCTATTAAATATCGATTTCGTTGCTATTATTTAATCGCAATTGATCACAATTAGAAAAGTCCATTAATTATTTAAGACATTATTTCATTTTCCTTTTTCTTTCAATCATTTAACTTGAAGAATGTAAATCCAACAATAAACATTTTTACCTTATTTGTTTAACTCAAATAATCTTTGTAATCATAATTAAAATTACCTTTACTTTAATAGATTTTCTTGATTTACTTCACTGAATTCAATTTAAATATCGCCTTAATTAACCC